ATACACTCTCTTTATTCTGCCTGCTGATGAAAGAAGAGAAAAAAGAGGCTCGATGTCACTGTTTGTCAGACTACTTTCAAGTAGTTGCAATTCTTCAAGGGATGGGACACTAGCGATTGTGACAGGCTGCAAACCGTGCAAATTGTTTCCTCGCAGATACACTCTCTTTATTCTGCCTGCTGATGAAAGAAGAGAAAAAAGAGGCTCGATGTCACTGTTTGTCAGACTACTTTCAAGTAGTTGCAATTCTTCAAGGGATGGGACACTAGCGATTATGACAGGCTGCAAACAGTGCAAATTGTTTCCTTGCAGAACAACTTTTTTTATGCTGCCTGCTAATGAAAGAATAGAGAAAAGAGGCTCGATGTCACTGTTTGTCAGACTACTTTTATATAGATGCAATTCGTCAAGGGATGGGACACTAGCGATCGTGACAGGCTGCAAACCGTGCAAATTGTTTTCTTGCAGATAAACTCTCTTTATTTTTCCTGCGGATGAAAGAAGAGAGAAAAGAGGCTCGATGTCACTGTTCGTCAGACTACTTTCAAGTAGTTGCAATTCTTCAAGGGATGGGACACTAGCGATCGTGACAGGCTGCAAACCGTGCAAATTGTTTCCTTGCAGATAAACTGTCTTTATGCTGCCTGCTGATGAAAGAAGAGAGAAAAGAGGCTCGATGTCACTGTTTGTCAGACTACTTTTATATAGATGCAATTCTTCCAGGGATGGGACATTCGCGATCGTGACAGGCTGCAAACCGTGCAAATTGTTTCCTCGCAGATACACTCTCTTTATTCTGCCTGCTGATGAAAGAAGAGAAAAAAGAGGCTCGATGTCACTGTTTGTCAGACTACTTTCAAGTAGTTGCAATTCTTCAAGGGATGGGACACTAGCGATTATGACAGGCTGCAAACAGTGCAAATTGTTTCCTCGCAGATAAACTCTCTTTATGCTGCCTGTTAATGAAAGAAGAGAGAAAAGAGGCTCGATGTCACTGTTTGTCAGACTACTTTCAAGTAGTTGCAATTCTTCAAGAGATGGGACACTAGTGATCGTGACAGGCTGCAAACCGTGCAAATTGTTTCCTAGCAGAACAACCTTCTTTATGCTGCCTGCTGATGAAAGAAGAGAGAAAAGAGGCTCGATGTCACTGTTTGTCAGACTACTTTCAAGTAGTAGCAATTCTACCAGGGATGGGACACTAGCGATTGTGACAGGCTGCTGCAAACCGTGCAAATTGTTTCCTTGCAGATACACTCTCTTTATTCTGCCTGCTGATGAAAGCAGAGAGAAAAGAGGCTCGATGTCACTGCTTGTCAGACTACTTTCATATAGGAGCAATTCTTCAAGGGATGGGACACTAGCGATAGTGACAGGCTGCAAACCGTGCAAATTGTTTCCTCGCAGATACACTCTCTTTATGCTGCCTGCTAATGAAAGAAGAGAGAAAAGAGGCTCGATGTCACTGTTTGTCAGACTACTTTCAAGTAGTTGCAATTCTACCAGAGATGGGACACTAGCGATTGTGACAGGCTGCAAACCGTGCAAGTTGTTTCCTTGCAGATACACTCTCTTTATTCTGCCTGCTGATGAAAGAAGAGAGAAAAGAGGCTCGATGTCACTGCTTGTCAGACTACTTTCATATAGGAGCAATTCTTCAAGGGATGGGACACTAGCGATCGTGACAGGCTGCAAACCGTGCAAATTGTTTCCTTGCAGATACACTCTCTTTATGCTGCCTGCTGATGAAAGAAGAGAGAAAAGAGGCTCGATGTCACTGTTTGTCAGACTACTTTCAAGTAGTTGCAATTCTACCAGGGATGGGACACTAGCGATCGTGACAGGCTGCAAACCGTGCAAATTGTTTCCTCGCAGATACACTCTCTTTATGCTGCCTGCTGATGAAAGAAGAGAGAAAAGAGGCTCGATGTCACTGTTTGTCAGACTACTTTCAAGAAGTTGCAATTCTTCCAGGGATGGGACAATAGCGATTGTGACAGGCTGCAAACCGTGCAAATTGTTTCCTTGCAGATAAACTGTCTTTATTCTGCCTGCTGATGAAAGAAGAGAGAAAAGAGGCTCGATGTCACTGTTTGTCAGACTACTTCCATATAGTTCCAATTTTTCAAGGGACGGAACACTAGCGATAGTGACAGGCTGCAAACCATGCAAATTGTTTCCTCGCAGAGCAACTGTCCTTATGCTGCCTGCTGATGAAAGAAGAGAGAAAAGAGGCTGGATGTCACTGTTTGTCAGACTACTTTCAAGTAGTTGCAATTCTTCAAGGGATGGGACACTAGCGATTGTGACAGGCTGCAAACCGTGCAAATTGCTTCCTTGCAGATAAACTCTCTTTATTCTGCCTGCTGATGAAAGAAGAGAGAAAAGAGGCTCGATGTCACTGTTTGTCAGACTACTTTTATATAGATGCAATTCTTCAAGGGATGGGACACTAGCGATCGTGACAGGCTGCAAACCGTGCAAATTGTTTCCTCGCAGATAAACTCTCTTTATTCTGCCTGCTGATGAAATAAAAGAGAAAAGAGGCTCGATGTCACTGTTTGTCAGACTACTTTCATATAGATGCAATTCTTCAAGGGATGGGACACTAGTGATCGTGACAGGCTGCAAACCGTGCAAATTGTTTCCTAGCAGAACAACTTTCTTTATGCTGCCTGCTAATGAAAGGAGAGAGAAAAGAGGCTCGATGTCACTCTTTGTCAGACTACTTTCAAGTAGTTGCAATTCTTCAAGGGATGGGACACTAGCGAATATGACAGGCTGCAAACCGTGCAAATTGTTTCCTCGCAGAACAACTTTCTTGATGCTGCCTGCTAATGAAAGAAGAGAGAAAAGAGGCTCGATGTCACTGTTTGTCAGACTACTTTCAAGTAGTTGCAATTCTTCAAGGAATGGGACACTAGCGATTGTGACAGGCTGCAAACCGTGCAAATTGTTTCCTCGCAGAACAATTCTCTTTATGCTGCCTGCTAATGAAAGAAGAGAGAAAAGTGGCTCAATGTCACTCTTTGTCAGACTACTTTCAAGTAGTTGCAATTCTACAAGGAATGGGACACTAGCGATCGTGACAGGCTGCAAACCGTGCAAATTGTTTCCTCGCAGAGCAACTGTCCTTATGCTGCCTGCTAATGAAAGAAGAGAGAAAAGAGGCTCGATGTCACTGTTTGTCAGACTACTTTCAAGTAGTTGCAATTCTACCAGGGATGGGACACTAGCAATCGAGACAGGCTGCAAGCCGTGCAAATTGTTTCCTTGCAGATACATTCTCTTTATTCTGCCTGCTGATGAAAGAAGAGAGAAAAGAGGCTCGATGTCACTGCTTGTCAGACTACTTTCATATAGGAGCAATTCTTCAAGGGATGGGACACTAGCGATCGTAACAGGCTGCAAACCGTGCAAATTGTTTCCTCGCAGATACACTCTCTTTATGCTGCCTGCTAATGAAAGAAGAGAGAAAAGAGGCTCGATGTCACTGTTTGTCAGACTACTTTCAAGAAGTTGCAATTCTTCCAGGGATGGGACACTAGCGATTGTGACAGGCTGCAAACCGTGCAAATTGTTTCCTTGCAGATAAACTGTCTTTATTCTGCCTGCTGATGAAAGAAGAGAGAAAAGAGGCTCGATGTCACTGTTTGTCAGACTACTTCCATATAGTTCCAATTTTTCAAGGGACGGAACACTAGCGATTGTGACAGGCTGCAAACCGTGCAAATTGTTTCCTCGCAGAACAACTGTCCTTATGCTGCCTGCTAATGAAAGAAAAGAGAAAAGAGGCTCGATGTCACTGTTTGTAAGACTACTTTCATAAAGGTGCAATTCTTCAAGGGATGGGACACTAGCGATCGTGACAGGATGCAAACCGTGCAAATTGTTTCCTTTCAGATAAACTGTCTTGATGCTGCCTGCTAATGAAAAAAGAGAGAAAAGAGGCTCGATGTCATTGTTTGTCAGACTACTTTCAAGCAGTTGCAGTTCCTCAAGGGAAGGGACACTAGCGATCGTGACAGGCTGCAGACCGTGCAAATTGTTTCGAAGCAGAACACATTTCTTTATGCTACCTGCTGATGACAGAAGAGAGAAAAGTGGCTCAATATCACTTTTTGTGAGACTACTTTCAAACAGGAGCAATTCTTCAAGAGAAGGGACACTAGCAATCGTGACAGGATGCAATCCGTGCAAATTGTTACCTTGCAGACCGAAGTTCTTAATGCTGCCTAATGATGAAAGAAGACAAAAAAGTGCTTCGATATCACTATTTGTCAGACTACTTTCAAGCAGTTGCAATTCTTCAAGAGAAGGGAATCTAGCAATCGTGACAGGCTGCAAACCGTGCAAATTGTTTCCTCTCAGATGAATTTTCTTTATACTGCCTGCTGATGAAAGAAGAGAGAAAAGTGGCTCAATATCGCCGGTTGTCAGATTGCTTTCATATAGCTCAATACATTCAAGGGACGAGACACACTTGATCTTGACTGCCTGCAAACCGTGCAAATTGTTTTCTCTCAAATGAATTTTCTGTATGCTGCCTGCTGATGAAAGAAGAGAGAAAAGTGGCTGAATATCACTGTTTGTCAGACCACACTCGACAAGACTACATTCTTTCAGAGATGGTACTTGTTTTATGTTTTGTTCAGATAATGTATCATGCAAATTCATTCCACCAATTTCAACTCTTTGCGTGTTGGTTTTTGATAACACTTGGAAAAGTTTTCCAAGGTTCCAATCGCAATTATGTACTTCTAGAGAAATAAGATATTTCAATATCACCGAGGCGTTATTAACAAACTTATCCCAGCCGATATCATAAAGTACAATGTTCAGCGATGGCTGACATTGTATATGAGTCATCACATCCTCTAAAAGTTTCAAGTCAGCTAAACCTCGACACGTAGCATTTATTTCGTGTTTGTCTACTTTGTGCAGAATTGTATGATTGGACCCGACTTGAAAGAGATAATTCGCAGCAACGAGCACCTCACCTTGGAGTTTATATGGAAACTCAATCTTCACAGTCTCAAGAAATTCTTTAACGATAGATTCTGACTGAGCTTCAAATAGGAGCAACATCGAAATTCTATGCAATGGCTTGTTCAAGTCATTTTGCTTCAAGAGATCTGTCATTCGCCTCAGAATCACCTCGGCCGCATCTGGGTTCAGTCCACAGCAGAATCGCAGGACGTATTCCAAGCTTTCCACATCTCCAAGAAATATACCAGACAGGTATTGGTCAAAGGCTTCTCTGTCAGTCCTGAACAAATCTGCCAGATATGCCGCCGCACTATATTCTTGGAAAGTTTTGTGCAGAAACGAAAAGTGAGCAACCGTATTGAGACCTTGAACATCTTTTCTTTTTGTCAACAAGCCAACATCAGATCCCTTGTCCAAAATCTCAAGATCCTTTGAATCGATCTCATCTTCCATGAAATGAAGCTTTTCCCCATTTGAATCTAACAAACCTTCAAGAGCTATCTGACCGAGTTGTGAAACATGTTTCTCAGCATCAGAAACATGCTCATCTGTTTCCTTACTGGCCTTATGCTGGATAAGCAGCTGAATGTTATCCCGAAAAAGGCTTGTTATTTGATCTGGCAGTTTCCTTTTTTCTGCCCATGTGTGGCACATCAACCACAGAAATAACGGTATTTCGGCTAAACTACGAAGCGTTTCGCATCCATTAACCTTTTCAAGGAAGTTGTTTTGATTATCAGGTTCAAAATTTGCCAAGTATTTCGTAACGTATTTTCGCCTGTCGTTCTCATCAAAGCCCATCATATTAATTTTTGTGTAGTGTGCATGCATATCCAGCAGCTCATTCGCAGTCTTCTGTCGGCTCGTAACTATGACCTTGCACGACTTGAGTAACTTGAAAGATAATACACCGTTCAAGTCTAATACTTTCTCGCACTGTGCATCCTTTACTCTTTGCAAAGAAACCTCATCAGCGCCATCAAACAAAATCAATACGCGCTCTTGATTCTCATGGATGTATTGTTCTAAGTCTTTTTTCTTCAGTCTGCTGTCTGTGAGTATCTGAGAGAAAATGGCGTCAACAATGTCGAAATTCTTGCCCATTCGATTAACATCGATCACAAAGACAAGCTCGTACCTTTCCAGAACTGATGTGTGCTCAGGTTGTTGGTTTTGAGTTTGATCATCGCCCTTGGTTTTAAGATCTGCCCAATCGTATGCAATCCTTTTAAGGAGTGTGGTTTTGCCGTAACCAGCCTCAGCTCTGATTAATAATCGATTTGATTTAAGCACGAGCATGTCTTTATATGAGTCAAGGGACATTTTCTGAACATGAAACCCTTTGTCCCTATCAGGTTGTGAACTGGGTGGAACAGGAGTACCTCTTTTTGAAGCTTTGTAATTCTCCTCTTGTCTGCCAGTTTCTGCTTGCATCTTTGCCTCCGATGAGGAGACAGGAGATGGTACATTCGTCTCTTGCAGTAGCTGCAGGTTGATGCAGATGTCATCTATCTCTCTAGCCATGTGCTTCTCTTTAGGATGTGTCGTCACTTTCATCGTCCCTCGGTAATGTGCTGCCAATTCTCTTGCACACTGTTCAACATCAAAACGAGGTTTTGCAGTGCCTGTGCAGAAAAAAAATCATTTTGGGGTAACAATCAAGTAAACTGTCAGTATATATATAAAGACGTTGATCTGTAGGTTTTTAAACACCTGCTCTATTTCTTGGCGCTGCCAAGCACATGCTGATGACAGCCTTCATCATCACCACAGACCGTAAGCAAGAATCACAGCGAAAAAGACAAAAAAACCCTTACATCAGTGACGTTACAAAAATGCGAAAACTCCATGTGATTGAAATCGTAGGCAAATTTACGTCATGAACATTACTTCAGAATCGGACAAATGCGCTTACAACTTTAGCGCCTTTTCCGGTTAACTAATTTGGCAACGCACCAAATCGGCCACTAAAAAAAAAATCCTGGTAGGCACATTGGCCTACGAAAAGCAAACGGTTGTAACTTACGGTATGCGTTATAATTCGCCCTCCGACGCAGAAACTAGCTCTTTTGGAGACCCAATTTGGTTAATTACCTTAATAAAAAAAATTCAAACTAATTCTTCCATCTAATCCTAGCCAGAGACATCCTCTACGGATATATGCAGTCACCTTGAGTGTGTGACCCCGGGTCAGGCATATCTGAGCCTGACAACCTGGGCTGCCCATATACACGTGCACAAAACAAGGTCACTTGTGGGTACCCAGTGCACGACTTGACCACAGACTATGTATACAACATCTGTTTCCTGTCAATGACCTCCTTATTTATAGTCTACGGACATGTCGAGATTGTGTACATATAGATACAGCGTTGTGTAGCCTCAAACCAAGGCGCTAAATATCTGGGTCCCCGGAGGGACCCCTTTACTGTAAGCGTGTTAGCAAATGGGCTTTCTGCGTCGGAGGGTAGGCCTCATGTATAAATGTTTAAATGCAATACTTGAAAAGGCTCATTTGTATCCAATTTAATGGTGACTTTTTTTGGGGGGGGGGGTCTCATGTAAATGTATGTATTCATGAGCAAACTGTGATGTTATTTCCGGCAGAAACCTCAATGTTACAGCTGTTACAGCACCAAACGCCATGCATTGTCTTCCTTTGTTTTTCTTTTCTCGCCTTTTTGGTGATTCGTTGTTGTTTAAGTAAATAAAAGTAAGCCAATGTGCAAGCTTTTCAAAAACGACTTCACAGGAAAAAAATCCAAGTTTGACCCCAAAAGGAATGTCAAATATTTTAATATATTTAGGAACAGTAGAATGTTACACAAAATATGTTCCTCGGTAAAAATTCATGGCATTGACCCTTAACATTCTCTCAGCAGTTGCAACTTAATGAAGAGAATTTCTGCACAGCAGTCATTATCCAGATAACCCAGTTTCGTGAGTTTTGTTTCACATAAGAGGTATGACCTATAAGTAGTCTATTAACAAAGCTTTTGATAGGTTATCAGTTATTTTATTACTTGAGATTGACTTTAACAGTGAAACAGTGATGTATAGTAACTAAACATGATCAAGAAAGAGCACATTGCCGTTTTTTTGGTAATTAGCTCTAACCTTGTTCTTGCGGTGCCAAGTCAGCACGTTCCACATCTGTCAGAGCGTCACTCATCTTCTCAGTTGTGTCTGCGGGGTTATCCTGCTTCTTCCACCAGGCATCTAACAGAGATAAGAAAAATGGTGGTTGATCCCATTCAGAGACGCTTTTTCTTATAGATTGACAATACCCGTATATGTGTGTACATGGGTTTGAATGCTTTCGTATTGGTCATTTTCCAATCAGGGTTTTGTTGAAAATTTATTGTAAGTTTTTTGGACTAATATAGTTTGTTGATACTTGGGTGTTAAGGATTGTTTGGTCATTTGGAAATGGTCATTTGGTTGTACACAAGACTCATCAGCTGCATTGGTTCCGGGAAACCGGGGTAGTCCATAGTTCGGTGCGTGCCCTTTGGGTAGGAAATGACCAGGAAGTAGATGATAGTACCAATAATATTCAGGGTAATTGGACTCATGAGTAAGCTGATTGGATTTTGTTTTTCCAGTACGAATTCATGGCATGGGCACCTTACACTTCGTGTGTGTTCTGTTTGTCAGCAGATGCAACATTATGAAGAGATGTTATGCACAACTGTAATAATCCAGAGAATTGAGCGTCCTTGAGTTGAAATTGCAATCACGAAAGAGGTATAAACCTCAGTAGGCCTAACAAAGCTAAAACTTGACCAAGACAGAGCACATTGACCTTTTTCGATAAGCTTGTATACCTTGTACTTGTGATGCCAAGTCAGCACGGCCCACATCTTTCAGAGCGTCTCTCAGCTTCTCAGGGGCGTCTGCGGGGATGTCCTGCTTCTTCCACCAAGCATCTAACATCTGGAAGATTTGTTCGTGTAAGTTTCCCCTGTCGTTTTCTTGGAAGGCGTAGATTTCTCCTTCCTCGAAATCCAATTGTCTGGCTACCAGCTTCCAGTCTTTTCCAAGCTTGCGTGATAACGTGGAGAAGTATTTCTCTGTAATGCATAGTCATATAACACAGTTTGCATCAATCATCTCAGGGCGGCTCTAGAGCATCAAAACGAATGTTAACCACAATAAACTCAGCGGCGAAGTTAAACAAGTTCAGAAGCTCGTCGTATTGACTGATCAAAACATTAATGAGACTTTCAGCAAATACACATGTAAAATGAGTCTGGTACTCATTATATTAATGCTCATAATCCTTTCTTGGGGGCAGATAAATTTAAGTACACTATTTAACACTCCAAGGTCGGCATTTTAAAAATTGTCCCAGCATATTGCAACATGAATTTTGCAAAAAGATGATGCTGAAATTGGGGAGACATTTCCCCCTCCATTTAAAAAAAAAACTAATTTGGGTTAATTAAACACTCAATTTAACTGTTTTTATGTTACCAACTCATGTTTTATTACTTAGTATAAAATATTCGGGGGAAAAGGCACTGTATGAAAATGTTCTGGATGAGATGAAGCAACAACTTTGACAACAATTGTTTTTAATTAAACTGATTTTAGTGCCCCAATATAGTTACCTAATGGTCCACCGCCTAACAAGCCGCCAACACGAAGTTTGATGTTCTGGTCTTGTTGTATCCCATGGTCGCGAATGGAGAGTAGGTCACAAAGCTGCAAACGAATTATAATTTTAATGATATTTTTTGACATTTCTGGAGAAAAAAAACGTGGCAAACTGCTTACCCGTTTGATTGACATGATTATTTCCAAATCGTAGTTTTTTTTGCAGGGAGGAGGGGTCTTTTACAAGTTCTTGCAAGACGTTTACCAATACTTGTTATATTTTACAAAAAACCTGTTACAATTATTAAGTATAAAACGTTAGGTGCAAAAAGACACTCTATGAAAATACATTACATTTGTATCTCGCCTTCGTTCTGAAGTTTACAGCTAGAGGAATGCAATTTAAAACGTAGCAATTAAACTAGAATTGGCGTTGTACACTCAGATAAAATGAAGTTAAAATGTGACATGGATTAATATTTCTTGTCAGTGTAATAATAGGAGCAGCACCTGAAAGTTTCTCCCGATGTAAAGGCGTTGTTCTTGGGGCTGGATGCCACTCTCAGCTTGAATGTGTGCCTTTAGAGCTGATACGGATGTCTCTGGATCCAGCTGCAGGCATATTGTCTTTGGTAGGAGGAGACCTTGGACAAAAATTTGCAATTTATGTCTCACTCCAACGGGCCTGCAAGTTAAAAATGCAATAAAAACCTCCTGGAACCAAACTCAGACAATAAGTATTTTTAGCAAACTTTTGTTTTAGTGTGTATTCCATGTTTCCTTCCACGATTTGTGTAAAAGGAAACAATGTTAGATATTCACCTCCCAGGGCTCCAATTACAAAGGTCGTTTATTCATGTACGACATGACTTGGATGGGGTTGGAGGAATAATGATTAATTCACAAGAATTCTGAACAAAATTATCCGAGTACCCATGTGTTTTTGTTTGTTTTGGGTGCAGTTAAACTTGCAGTTGGTTTTATACACGGATTGAAACTGTTTGGAACTGGTAAACCAATCATATTTTAAATGAAGATGCGAATACCTTTTTGTAATAATGGATTGATGAACATTGCAGTTAAGAATGTTTGTTTGGTTTATGCTCTATATCAAGCAGAAAACCACAACTGTTGGTACGACAAAAAAATAAGAAAACTACAATCCCACAGGCCTGATATATTTCGTGAAAATTTGGTCCATTGAGATGTCGAGAGAAATTTCCTCGTTATACCTATTCACTTCAGGATTGCTGGTTGTTTCGTTTGTGTTCGGAGTTGTGCTGTGTCCAGAGTCAGTTATTGACGCCTCTTTCAGTGGCAGGACGGATGCTCCCTCTTCATCAGGATGGAGTCTTGGCGAGGCTTTGACTGGAAATGCGGCCATGAATGCCGCTTTACGACTTGGCTTAACCCTCCTCTTCGTGCTGACGAGTTTGCTGAGTGAGTGGTTGTACTCCTCAGCCGTGATCCTAGCTCCACCCCGCTGACCAAGTCTGTCTCGCTGCATTTTTGTGATTGAGGTCAGACGTCAGACGATGATACTCAACCAATCTAGCAAAACAATGAAACATTTCACATATATGTTAACTGTACCTAATAGTTATTAATAACCCGTAAGGTAGGTAACCATAAGTTTCAAATACTTGAATTTCTTGAAAATATGGAGGCTCAGCACCTTTTGAGATGCCTTCTTCTACAACACCCTTGCACAGCTGCCGACCTTGCATTGTACAATGAAGACGCAGAGAAATGTGTTCGGCGTTGGCTGAACCGAATTTAGCTTTGTGACGTGGACCCGATAAGAAGAAGACCAGTAACGAGATACATTTTCATTACGTGGTTTATTCACTGCATAGTGCACATTCACTCCAACTGCTAACTCCCCCCTCTCCTATCTTCTCACCCTTACCAACTCAATCTCCTCGTCAACTTGCCCCCTAGCAATGTCGCCTCTAGCCAACTTGCTCCCCGACAAACTCACCCCTCACAAAATCTCCCATTCAATAATTATCTCATTGCTCAATTCGTCAATTGGAGGATCATCAAATTATCGCCAACTCGTCAATTGGAGGATCTTCAAATTATCACCAACTTGCTCTCGGACCAACTCGCCTGCTCACAAATTCTCCCTTTGAATAATTATCTCATTGCTCAATTCGTCTATTGGAGGATCACAAAATTGTTGCGTACACCTACTTTTATTTAGTTTTCAAAATTTAGTATTTCATAATTGGTGCAACATGATGCTAAGGATCCGTGTTTCAAACATGGAGAAAGAAAACAATTTTTGTCATTATGTGTAACTACCACCTATTTTAATTATCGTTTGATACTTTATTAATATACGCATTCAGGAATTAAATGCGTATGGATCTGAAAACCAGAAATATTATTTTTTTAAGATGTGTTTTATCATAATTTTGCACATCCCTTTTCAAGAGTAGAAGAGTCAACATTCGCACTCGGCTAATAAAAAGACTCCACCCTCTGGTTTGCAGGAACTTATCGCAGGTAAAATGTTACAAGACTTCATTAATTCATTGCCACTTCAATTCAAATTATTTGTTTGTGTGAAAGTTAGGGGGAAGGGGGTCTCTATGCAACTTTTATTCTGCGTGTCACGCTTCACCAACAAACAAAAAGAACTTATCAAAATAAAATGATAACAAGCGCAACCACAAAAGCAAAGCAAACAAACGAACAAACAACCAAAATAAATCCTGAAGGTGTAAACCAAACCAACTTAATTGGAGAGAGGAAGTAAAGCTTTCCAAGCTGAATGGGCTTTAAAAAAATGAGAATCTATCATCAGTGTTAGATATGTTACTCAACACTGATGACGGATCAAATTATGGCTGACAAGATGAAACACTTGTCAGCATCCCTTTAGTTCATGAACCAAGAAATCATAAATTGATCAACATATCTGATTTCAAAACGGTACGAAGCAGAATGACAGTCAAATATATTGGAACATATATTTTGAACAACGGGATGTAGTTTTGAAAATCAAATATGTATTTTTCAAGATTGAACTTGTGTTTTGGTAAACGAAATGTATTTTTACGAATTGAAAGTGCATCATTACAAATAAATGCATTTTAAAACAGAACGTATTTTGAAAAATCGAACGTGTACTTTTACCACCCGAATGCATTTCACAAAACCGAATAACTTTTTACAAATCGAACATACTTCTTAACAAATAGAACTTTTTTTTGTGTTCAACATAAAACATCTGCCGTTTCGAAATAGGCACTTGTATATGTTTTCGACATCTAAAAATGCTTTCTGTCTTTTTGACCGTGTTCGGTCCGGTCCAGCACGGCGATAAAGCCTGGTTCCCATTGCGTTAAGAAAACAATTTTTAAAGAAATTTCATTATCTTCAGGAAATTTCAAAACTTTAAATGTCCAGAGGGATTTTCTGAGAAAATGAAAATTTTAATATAAAGAAATTTCTAAAATAGATAGGGAAAACAATTAAAAACAAACGCTACGGCATTTTGCTGTCCTCCACGAAACACAGGGGTTGAGACAAGGGATCGAAGTCTGCTTCCATGACCAACCAACCAACGCGAAAGAGCCGAATCCTCACAGTTTGTAGAAAAATATGTGAAAGCGAGTGCAGGTTATGAGTGAAGTAAGCTTCATATGAAAACTGAAAGGTTCCTTTTTTCAAGGTTCATTTATTTTTCCACAGTATCAAATCAATAAATGACATGAAATAATTACATAACAGAAAAGAATTACAAATAATACAACAAAAGTGATATTTTAAGGACACTGCAGAGGGGCCCATTGAGAAGCAGAGCTTTTAAGCATGGGCCCCAGACAGGCATGCTCATTGAGCCCAATCCAAGAGAAGGGAATTAACTTACATTGAACAATATTGAATGGTCAGTCACACGAGGCTCAATGAGCATGCTGTATTTAAAGTAATTACATGTACGTAGAAAAGCAACATACCTAAACACAATACACATTGAGACGTAAACAACAGACAAACAAACAATACAATACAGATCATTTAAACTAGTCAGGTCAGCAAAGAGCAATACAATCATGGATATTCTACAATCTACATGTAACTAAATGTACATATTATATCTACTGGCATGAATTAATGATAAGTTTGAATTAAGATTGATTTAAATAGTCGTTTAAAAGTGGAGAGATTGGTAGAAGCTTGCAGTTGTTTAGAGAACGAATTCCAGAGCTTGGGTCCCTTGTATTTAACCGTATTTTGAGCAAGAGAGGTGCGACTAAATGGAATATAAAAATTAGAGGCTTAGCGAGTCCAATGAGAATGAATTTCACTTTTCTGGCTAAAAATACTATTAATGGAAGATGGTAAGGTATTGTGAAAAGATTGATACATTAAAGACCCAAGCTGAACGTTATACATATCATTAAGTTTTAAAGTTGTATGTTTTACAAAAAGGGGATCAGTGTGTTCATAGTAGTCGGCAAAATTAATTACACGCAAGGCTCTTTTTTGTAATAGGAGTAGTCTGTTTAGATTTGTAGCAGAACTACTACCCCAAGCAAGTAAACCATAGTTAAGATGAGAGACAATTAGGGTATTATAAAGAGATTCCAAAACATTTAATGGTAAAAAATGCTTGAGTTTGTTAATTACACCTACGTTCCTTGCAATGATTTTACATAAATGATCAACATGATTTTTCCATGTAAGCCCTGAGTCAATTAACAAACCCAAAAATTTACAACAATCAGTTTTGATAATTACAGAATCATCAATCATAATATTACAGGGTAGTTCACTGACGGAGTTACTGAACAACATGTAGCTAGTTTTGGAAATATTTAAAGATAATTTATTGAGTCTGAACCAATTCGAAACAGATTTAAGTTCGGCGTTAACAGTGTCGGTGAGGTAATTGAGGTTGCTATGGGAAAAGAATAAATTAGAGTCATCAGCAAACAGTATAAAGGAGAGCAAGTTAGAAGACTTTGTAAAATCATTGATATATATTATAAAAAGCAAAGGTCCTAAAATTGAGCCTTGGGGTACTCCGTGTGTAAGACAACTAGAGTTTGAATTAAAGCCATTAATATACACATATTGGGTTCGGTTTGAGAGATAACTCCTAAACCACTCTAGGGAAGTTCCTCGAATGCCATAGAAGGAAAGTTTATATAATAAGATTTCGTGGTCAATGGTATCGAACGCCTTAGAGAGGTCAAGGAATATCCCTAGAGTGTGTTTGGAGTCATCAATGGCATTAGACACTTTATTTATAAATTCAAGTAAAGCATGGGTGGTTGAATGTTTTTTGCGAAATCCAAATTGTGAATGAGTTAAAATGTTAAACTTATCTAGGAATGTTATAGTGCGGACATAAGTACATTTTTCAAAAATCTTTGAAAAGCATGACAGTAAAGAAATAGGTCTGTAGTTATTGACGCAAGTAGGATCACCTTTTTTAAAAACTGGAATGACTTTGGCAATTTTTAGTTGAGAGGGAACAATACCAGTTAAAAAAGAAGAATTAATAATATGGGCAAGTGGTTTACATATTGCAGTAATACAACGTTTTAATATAAATGTGCTAACAAGGTCGTGTCCCGAGCTTTTTTTATTTTGCAAATTGTTAACAATGTCAATTATTTCATATTCAGTTGTTGGTGTAAGAAATAAAGAACTGGCGTTAGCATTTGTTAAGTAATCTTTAAAACTAACAGACGATTGCGTGTCCTGTATATTACTAGCGAGATTTGGGCCAATGTTGATAAAATAATCGTTAAAGCAATTGGCAATTTCAGCAGGGTCATTGATCGATTTACCATCTGACATAATGCTATTAATGGTTTTGGAAGATTTTTTGTTATTTAGAACAGAATTAATTACTTGCCAAGTATTACGTAAATTATTCTTTTCCTGTTCAAACTGACGAGCATAATACATTTTTTTAGATGTACGTAATAGGCTAATTAGATAATTTTTATATCTAGTGTATTTAGTTTTTCTTAGGATCGTTGGATTGGACAAATATTTATGATACAATTTGGTTTTTTTGTTAATTGATTTAATTAGTGAAGAAGTGATCCAAGGTGAACTTGAGCTACGGTTGAATTTCTTTCGTTGATTGTTTGGATTAAAGGAAAATTTTTTTCAAACAAATAATTAAAGGAATCCATAAATGAAGTAAATGCAACCTCTGGATTATTACAATTAAATACTTCATCCCAATCAGTGGCAAACAAGTCATCGTTAAATTGATTGAAGTTGCTGTCGGAGAAGTAACGTGTAAATGAGGGATATGCATTTCTGCTATTTGGGCCAGACGTGTCTGAGGACTGAATGAACATAAAGATTGGCAGGTGATCTGAAATATCGGTTACAATTATACCAGATTCGGGTGAAGGTAAAATATTTGAAAACATGTTATCTATGAGTGTAGCAGATGTATCAGTAATGCGAGTTGGCTTATTAATTAACGGGAGAAGAGAATGCGATGTTATTAGATTGATGAAAGATTGG